ACTCCAAAAAAAGAGTTCTACAAGGAGAACCCCCTAGAGATAAGCCAGGACACAGAATTTAAAAGAACAATCAAAGATGATCAAGGAATTAAATGAACTTAAAAAAACACACAAACAAATCAAGGAACTAAAAGAAGATAGGGATAAACTTCTGAATGAATTCACAAAAGAGATAGAAACATTGAAGAAAACGTAGGCAGAAATGAAGAAGGAAGTGCAAAACTCAATAACCCAACCTGAAGCAACAGGGGAAAGCCTCACTGCTAGAATGAATGAAATGGAAAACAGAAATATCAACACTGGAGGATAAAGTTGAAAAGCAAAGATTATGGAAAATTAAAAAAAAAACACCGGAATGGAAAATGCAAGAGATGTGAGATGCCATGAAAAGACCAAATCTACAGATCATAGGAATAGAGGAAGGAGAAGTAGTTCAGGTTAATGGTACTGACCAGATCTTAAACAGGACTATAAAAGAGACTTTCCCAAAATTAAGGAAAGATATCCCCTTACAAATACAGGAAGCACATAAAACACCGAATAGACAGGACCAGAAAAGAAACTCCTCATGACATATCATAGTAAAAACACTAAATTTGCAAAACAAAGAGACTACTGAAAGCAGCAAAAGAAAAAAAGTCACATACAAAGGAAAGCCCATCAGAATTACAGCTGACTTATCAATGCAAACTATGAAAGCCAGAAGGGCCTGGACCAAGAGTTATACAATTGGGAGTCTTTCAGACAGACCTAATGAAGGGGTACCCTAATTACCTCACACTGCATCCCTGTTCAGCATGGAAGAATTCAGAGCAGTCTGCATCCCAATTCCCTATCCACAAGTTGGGTAACCTCTTCAGAGTATGGTATGATAAGAATAGGATGTAGGAACTGGCTAGGCAGGTAGGATAAAAAGACCCCAAAGAAAAGTAGCCAGTTTCTTGGCTGAAAGTCACAATGTCCTTGAGTCTCTTAGCAACATATTCCATTCCAAAGGCCAAAAATATCTAAAGTATTT